CTTGGTCCATTTCTAGCTATGATTTTGATCTTTTGAGGACTATATTGCTTAAAATTAAAAAATTGCTTGACTTGAGAGTCCAATACTCCTTGTATGCCTTGAGGATGCCATTTAGGAGTAAATTTTTCAAAAGATTGATATCTTGCTTGCAATTGTGGTCCACATCATCCTGATTTTGTGATTGTTTTGAGATTCATTCTAGGATTCTACACTAGCACCGGTGCACGTTAGCATTCAATTGTGGGGTACATGCTTGGTTGATTATTGAATTGGTTATATCCCAATTGGGCTAGTAGTGCATTGAAAGCTTTTATTCTTGATAAAGGTGGATAACAACCCCTTTTCATTGAGTAGTCGGGATTCTTGCCTCATTAAGCAGTGAACTTCTCACGCCGAAAGGTGGAGGGCCCAAACTCTAGGTTAATAATTTGATTAAAAAAAAAAAAAGTTGCAAAAGCAATAAAAGTGAGGACTTCTCCCAAAAGGTGAGAAGTGGGAAATGATTAGATGGTTGTTGTCTTGATTTGTAGCCTAGTTGATTTGAGTTTGTAAGTCCGTAGGGGTGTCTTGACACCTAATGCCCTAAAGCCATCTGGTTTGGGAGTCATTGACCTAAAGCTCGCTACATGAATCTTCTAGAAAGTTTAAGAGGTCAACACATTGCACAATACTTCCATCTTTGATCCTTAATAAAATAAAAAATAAAATAAAAATAGAGTGAAAAGATTAAGCGCACATAGAACAATAAAGCTTTAATAAAAGGTCAACTCTCTTATCTTGATGATCGGTACTAGATTTGTGTGCTAATTTGAGGGTAAGGATGTGATTACTTCTCTAGTTGGCTAAGATAGCAACACACTTGATACCGGACCTCTCACATGGATTCTAGACTTGTTTTGATTTTCATGATCATTTTCTTGATGTGTGGAGGACCATGCTTGCTTGCTTGCTTGATATTGAAATTTTGGGAGATTGCTTAGAAACGGTTGAAAAATTGCATACTTGAGGTAGTTTTCTCCCAATGCTTGTTTGCAATATTGGTGCCTCTTTTGAAAGGATGAGCTTAATGTTTGTGGGTACCATTTCTGGAAACCCTCACGAGACTTTACTCGTCCACTAAGGGTAACCTAGGGGTTTAAAAGGCTTGTTGCATATGCTAAATGCAATCGTGTTCCCTATGAAAGTGGCGCTATCATTTTACTTGCTTTCCAGTTTATACTTGTTTAGTTGTTCATTTCATTCCTTTACTTCTTAATTCATTGCTAGGGACTAGCAATATTTAAGTTTGGGGGTGTGATGAGCACTGAAAAGTGCGCATTTAAACCCGTTAAGCTTAACCATTCTAGTACCTTTATCTATCTTACTTTGCCGTTTTAGACTTATTACGTGTTATTTATATTTTCAGGCACTAATCCCAAAATTGAGCTAACTCAGCCAAATAAGAGCTTAATTGAAGCAATCCTGAGATAAACCAAAAGAGGGAGCAACGTGGAGAAAGAAAGGAACAAAAAGGAATCAAAGTTGTGCAGCTGAAAAGTTCGATCGATCCAACTTAGAGTTCGATCGATCTAACATCTATGATCGATCACAGTACTTCTCGATAGATCCAACCTTGGCCTTTGCTGAAATTCCAAGTTCGATCGATCCAACATCACCTTCGATCGATCGAACCCTATTTTGTCCTATTCAAATGATTGATCTTATCCACAGCTGTACGCCTACCAACCACTTTTGTCCTTTTCCCCATAAATATCTTCGAAATATCTCAGCCTTGTCCTTATCCAGGGGAGTCAGACCACTTCGATCGATCCAAGATGCAGTTCGATCAATCGAACCCATCTTCGATCGATCCAGGTTAAGGTTCGATCGATCGAACTTCCTCCAGCGAGAAAAAGTTAAAGTCCAGCTCATTTATTCCGTCCTTCACCCAATCATTGGAGAATATGCCTTGCACGACCACAGCTCATCATCGGGTGTATTTGAGCTACCTATATAAGGAATATGATACACTTTTTGGAAGAGAGTCTAGAGTCTCTTGTCACACATTGAAAATCATCTTGGAGGCTCTTCTTGGAGAGGAAGAAGGAGGGAAGCTAGAGCACCATTGGAGGAGATCTTCACCAACAAGGAGCAGCCATGGAGTTAGCCCTTGAGGGTTGGATCATCACTACCATGAGTGGCTAGACATCCTCTTGGGGCTAGAGTTAGCCCCAAACATGCTTTCTATACTCTAATCTTGTGTATTATTGAGGGATTAATGTTGTATGATACATCTTGATATTCATGTATATATAAATCTTGATTATTTCATGGTTTGTATGGTTTAATGCTTCCAATTGACTATTCTATTCTACCCATATGTCTATGTATGCTAGAGTAGGATATTCATGTGCTTATCTCTAGATTTAGTGTTTTTGATGCATGTCTATGTGTATTGATGCTATAGATCTAGAGATTATCAAGACGATATGCTTAATGAATGCTATTTTGGTTCATTTGATGGTTTATGCCTATTCTTGATGGTTTGTGCCTCTCCCCTAGTCTAGATAGCTTTATTTTCATGCTAGTAGTGTAGATTTAGTGTAGTGGTAGTATAATGTTAGATGGGAGGACAATATACTCTTGATGTTTGATGTTCCATGCTTGTGAGTCCAAATGGCATATTCCTCTAATATTGTGTTACATGTGGATTGTGAGCTTAATGAAGAATTAATGACTAGTTATGATATGTTGTATCTTTCACATGTGTTTAGACAATTTATTCCTCTCCCAATAGATAAATTGTGGCCTCTCACATGATGTTTAGATAATGCATGTTTAACTAAGTCATCCTTATGGATTGCTTGGACTATGAGCTTAACGAAAGGTTCAATGACTTGATTTGATATTTTGTTCTCTTCACATGATGTCTAGACAATATATTCCTCTACTAATAGATGTATTGTGGCCTCACACATGTTGATTGAGACAATTTGCACTTGTTGAGTCACCCTTACCAATTGAATGTCTTTTACACACACAACATTGTCGCAACACATTCATTTCCCTCATTAGTCACTTGGTTATGGTTTGGAATAGTATTGTTTGGTGGTGATCTCTACACCCCAAGACCTTTCCTTCTTACTCACTCTTTATATTAATGCATTTTAATTAATTCTTTTTTAGAAGTAATCAACCAACCCAATTCTCTTTTGCAATCATTTGGTACGTTAGAGTCGAAGTTGAAATTCCAACACGTATAATCCCTTGGGACGATCCCTACTCACTCTTGCTACGTTAGTAGTAGTGTTGGTAGTGGTTTTTATAAATTTAAATTTGACATAAAAGACTTTTCTTGAACCACACATTCACTACATTCAGTTTGGCGTATTGGAACGGCCGTCGTCAGGATCATACTCGGGAAATTATCAAAATCACAATTCACACCATTCACATTAACATATCATCATCACATAAATCAATCATTATTATAAATGTCAATATGCTATGAAATGCATTGTCTTCCCAACCAATACCCCGGTCCAACACAACACTAACTGACTTTACCGAGGCAAGATTGATAACTATCCATGGTTCTAAATCCGGCAACCATTTGTGGCCAAGTATTAACTTTTTCACGTCCTACATCAGGCCGTGCTTCCTCTAGGTCGAATTAGCCCCGGGCTTGCGAAAATCGGTTTCTTTTACAAAACTATTTCCTCACATCCCTTTCCAAACACATTCTTTAAAATCATTTCAATCCTCATTTTTCCTAAACCATGCTCATGTTGTGAAATGAGTTCATGCATCATTTAAAAAATAGCTTAACACGGATCATACATTCCTTACTCAAATAAGCATGTTTAGCATCAATGCAACTTATTCTCACAATGAATCATGAAATTTCAATATACAACTTGCATATATCATGCTCTCAACAAAATTTAGCATTTCAAAATATACCTTTAACATGCATAAACATATCATTTTCACCAAGAATAGATACATCACTTTAACTTCTAATCAACATCATTTAAAACAAATACGGGATGAAATCAAATAGGGAAAACTTAAATGGAGGTAAGACGTAATGCGTTAAACACCCCTACCTCAAAATGCAGCTAAAAAGGGTCTCCGGCCGGAAAGTCAACGCCGGTCAACTCTGCTCAACGTCGGCCGAATGGAAAACTATTCAGCGAAAATGTAGCCGACGACGAGGAGATCAAATTGTCTCAAAGGAACGTCTCCAGAATCCGGCTCGAAATGGCTCAAAATCCCCTCCGAAGTCTTAGATCTAAAACTTTCAAAAATTCGTAAAATATTCATTACTTCACTAAAAATTAAACCCTTGGAATATGCGATAAATAATGATGAGGGAAACACTTTCCGTCAAGGAATTGAGCTCGAAAACCAATCTGATCGACTGAAAAATAGAAGAGAAATTTGAAGCTTAAAAGAAAAGAAAAAAGAAAATGTGGAGCAAGGAGGGAGAGAGAATAGTGGCTGAAGGAAAGAAAAATTGAAAGGAAAAAGGGGCCTTGGCCCCTTTGTCAAAGGCTAACCCTCTTTGGGGTCCACACACCACAAAAAAAAAAAAAAAAAATTATTTTGATCCCACACATGCACACACACACATATATTATATATATATATACATACATACATATATATGCACCACACAAATGAATTTAAACATCTAGCCACACAATTAAGCACTAAATAAAGATGTAAGAAATATATAACAGCCTCGAAACATAATCCCGTGCAAGAAAAATCCGGGTGTAAGTCCCACCCGAGAACTCATGGCCCAATAATCTAAAAAATGTCGACATAACTGACAATGTATTTCTAAGCGTCCTGAACTCGAAGAAATGCCCTAACAACCCCCGGAACTCACCCGACAAACCCCACGGTGTTCGGTACACAAAACGAGGCAATAAAAATAAAATAATCTAAAAAATTGAAAAATTCCCGAACAATGGAAATTAGGAAAAATGAGGAACATTACATTTTTTACTATCATGTCTCATCATGAGCCTCAATCATACTGCGAGGCTAGTTCTAACCCCATTTGGCAACAAGCTATGGCAGAAGAATTACAGGCTCTTACACAAGCTTATACCTGGGACATGGTTGATCTCCCTTCTGATAAAACTATTGTTGGTTGTTAATGGGTTTAAAAAATCAAAACTCATTCTGATGGTTCAGTGGAATGATACAAAGCTTGTCTAGTTACAAAGGGCATTACCCAAGAATATAGCATTGACTAAGAGGAAACATTTTCCCTCATTGCTCGACTTACTTCTGTCCGAAACCTATTAGCTGTTGCAGCAGCCCATAAGTGGACATTGTTTTAAATGGATTTGAAAAAAGCCTCTCTCGGTGGCAATCTCAATGAAGAAGTATATATAAAACCTCCTCAAGGATATGACCATTCTCTACACCAAGTCTGAAAACTCTGTCGAGCACTGTACGGTTTTAAACAAGCTTCAAGGGCTTGGTTAACAAAATTCAGTTCTACAATTAGAGATATTGGATTTACTTTAAGCTTATATGATTTCAGTCTTTTTATCGGCAAGACTGGCTCTGGTATTACTACTTTTTTACTTTTTGTTGATGACATGATAATCACTGGAAATGATCTTGCAGGTATTTTTGCACTCAAAAATTTTCTTAGTCATCAGTTTGATATGAAGGATCTTGGGTGCCTCAATTATTTCCTCAGCTTGGAGATTCTCTCTTATTTGGATGGCTATTATCTCTCCCAAGCCAAGTATTCCACTGATATTCTTGCCCTTGTTGGACTCACAGATTGCACAACAGTTCCCACTCTACTTGAGACTAATGTCAATCTCATTTTTCTATATGGTACACTCCACATTGATGCTACATTATATCGATAGTTGGTTGGCAATTTGGTATTCGACCTAACAATGCTTATGCTGTGGATCTTGTCAGCCAGTTTATATCTGCACCTCGTTCTACTAATTATACTGATGTACTACGCATCATTCGATACATTAAAGGGACTATGTTTCATAGCCTTTATTTTTCTTCTCATTCTTCACTTGACTTACGCGCCTGCTCTGATGCTGATTGGGCAGGTGATCTGACTGACCGATGTTCTACTACTGACTATTGCTTTTTCCTTGGGAACTCTCTTATTTTTTGGCAAAGCAAAAAACAATCCATCGTCTCCAGGTCCAGTACAAAGGCCGAATACCGTACCCTTGCTAATCCATATAAGAACTTATTTGGCTTCAATGGCTCTTAACAGATATGGGTGTTTCTCATTCTACCGACACTGTTCTCTACTGTGATTATCATAGTGCTATTTATATTGCTCATAATGATGTCCTCCATGAATGCACAAAAAATATTGAAATTGATTGTCATATTGAGTGTCACCATGTTGCTCAAGGCACTGTACGTCTTCATTCTGTAACTTCCGTTGATCAGACCACTAACATCTTTACCAAATCTTATCCATCAGGCAAATTTCAGGAATTAGTTTCCAAACTTAAGTTGGTTTTTGTTCTACCACCTTAAGTTTGAGGGGGGATGTTAACATAATAATATTAGATTATATTATAGCCATTGTATAGTGAGTATTGCCATAATTATTGTCGTGATTTTTGTATAGAAGTTGATCACAAGCCTATTTATATCTCATCTTGTACATAATTCATACATATTTAAATATACAGAATTCTATATAATTCAGTTGTTTATCTCACTCTCTCTGATCTTGAACAGGAACAATGCAGTATTGGGTGCTCTCCGTTGTATAAGCCAAAAGTTTGTTTACATATATTCTTTTACTTTAGTTTATTTTTTCTATAGTTTTATAATACTTTAATTATACTATTCCTATTTAATTTCGGTAAATAATTATACTATTTATATTCTAGTATGATTAAATAGACATGTGTTTTCATTTACTGGCTTACGCTTAGTTGTATAGAATTAATAATTAAATACACAAAATCCTAACAATCAGAACTCCAGCGAGGTGGTGGCTATGCTATTCAACCACCTTTGTGCTGATGATCGAAGAGAAGCTAGTGAATTGGAATAATACCTTATAAATTATAGTTAGTTGAGTGGCTTGTGAGTTGGACTGTGCAAAATAGGTTGTGGAATACTGTTTTAAAAATATTTGGAGGGTGTGAATAAGTGTAACGTGCTGCACTTTACTCAAAAATAATTTAAAAATAAATTTATCGAATTGAAAGCAAATAAAACAACCCAAAAAGTAAGAATAAATGTAAGTAAAATAAAATTTGAGCGACACCTTATTCTCAGTGAGGAAACCTAGTTGGAGAAATCATCCAACAAATCGAAAACACTTCAGAGACTGTCACGTGATCTAGAGCGAAACGATCCACTATGTTTGAAGTAAAATACAATGAACCAACTTAGGCTCATACCCTCTCTACCAAGAACCAATTGCTGACTTTCTTTGGCTTTGCGACTCCCCAGTCAAATAGCTATTGACTTCAGGTCTACCTTGATTCTTGTAGAAGGATTGCTGGTAGATCAAACAACACTCCTCGGATGCTTTGACCCCTTCAAAGTGTAATCGCTCTCTCTATTTCTTCAAATCAGAATTTGATGTAGAAAAAAAACGTTTTTCTTTTTCTCAACAATATTAATAGATCTTAATTGATTCGGACTCTGATTAGATAGAGAAAATCATCCTAAATCACTCATGTGTATTGTATGTTCTGAACTATGAAAAATAAACAATAAAAAAAATCACACAAACTTAGCTCTCAAGAATGCTAAAAATTAGTGGCCTAATGGTACCAGATAGGGGTGCACACGGTCTTGTTTGGACCAGATTGAGAGTTTTTTGGAACCAAACCATTTATAATGGTTCCACTATGTAACGACCCTAACTCGAGGGTCCGAATCGCTAACCGGGCCCTTACCCGAACCCGAGGTCAACTAAAAACGTTACCGTCCTTTCTTATATCAATATATAATATACGTGTCATCCCAGGGTTTATAAATAATAATAATAAAATGAGATCATAGTTACAAAATATATCAAACAGTCCACTAACCCATCAAAACCTGTGGAGGAACGTCGTCTGCCACTTCCTTCCTATGACCTGAAAAATGTTAAAATGATGGGGTGAGCTAAACGCTTAGTAGGAAGTGTCTAAGGCACACATCTTATGACCCCGTGAATCCACATAGAGAATAGAAAGCAAGAGAATAGGATTATATCTCGGGAGTCAAGTAAAACCACTATATCATCAATAAACATACATATCTCAACCAATTACTAAATGCACCACGCCATGCAATGTCACTCCCCGTTTCCGAAACCATAGCGTTTCAACTTCCAAACCATTAGTGTAATCCGACCTAAGGCACCTCCAAGGTGTCACGAAAGGGGGATTGGCTAACCATTCACGACCACAAGGCACCTCCAAGGCGTCACATTTGGCCTGGTTAGCTTAACCACACTAGGGTCTCTCCTTAGTCCCCTCTCTAGACCACACTAACACCATGAACCACTAGGCGCCTCCTAGGTGTCCGGGTTCTCACAAACACTTTTTAAAAACTTTTCCCCAAAACAATTTCATTGTTTATTTAAAAAAAATATATTTTTCCCCTTTTTCTTTCCCAATGGATGCATAAATGCTTTATGATTCCAAATGCCAAATTCAACAACTATATTCCATACATTTTACCCAAATCATAATCACAACTTGTAAAAGAATATTTTAAACATTTATTTCTACGATTATGACATCAAATTTCCATAACATTTGAGATACATAAAGTAAACAACTTGTCATTTCTAAGCATGCTTCTTCACTACAAGAATGTAACTAGATTTACAAACTCATTTATCATATAATATACATCCACCACTTAACATATAATCAACCACAATCACATAGTCAAAATAATTGAAATTAAACATGCTTATAGCCAATTTAAGAGGGAAAATTCACATAGAATCTAAGAAATTGTGAATTAGAGCACCCATACCTTAAAAGTAGCCAAAATACATCCCCGGCTGAAAAAGTCAACGTGATCAATGTCGGTCAACAAAAGTCAACGCCGGTCAATGGCTGCGGAACAAAAAATTGTTCTGTGGGAACGTAGCCGTCGACGAAGAGATTCTACTGTTCCAAAGGCTCAGCTCCGGAATCCAACTCTAAGTAGCCCAAACCCCCTCCGAAGCCTTAGATCAAAAAATTTCAAAAATTCGTAAAATAGTCACCGCTCCTCTGAAAGATAAACCCTTTGACTATGTGATAGACAACGATGATAGGAACGTTTTCTGTTAAGGAACCAAAACCGGAAACCTGACCGTTTGGCTGAAAAAATGGAGGAGAAATAATGAAGTTCAAATAGAGGTGAAAAGAAAATAAAAAGTGAAGCTACTGTAAGGGAGAGGGAATTAACGACAGAGAGTGAAGAGTGAGGTTCTGCAATGACTATAAGGTCATTGATAAAGGCTTTCATTAGTGGCAGGCCCCGCAACTACGAAAATTTCATTTTTTCTAACTTTTATATACATATATATATATATATATATATATATATATATATATATATTTCTTTCATAAACATTACAATCTACCATACTTAAAAGATTTCGTCCTTAAAATCTACCCTCCTTAAAGAAGGAGGCCTACAACCATATATCTTCCTGAGAACACCTCATAAAACCCCAAAACCATGAACTTACCAACATTATTGCCTTTGACACCGGACGTCACTAGGCAATCACACACCATTGCCACAAAAACACAATACTTACCACCCTATAAGGGTACTCATTACTCACGGCATCAGAATACGAGACCAACTAGGCCCTATATCCGACTCTTAATGGACATCGGTCCACTCTACACTGTTATGCAAGACCCTGAAGCCCGAAAGAAGAACGGTCTTTAGACCACCGAACATGACAATATCTAATCTCAACTCCTCCCTAAATGGATACACAAAACTCCAGACAAAGAACCTCATCCATCTCACAATCAAGCTCAACTCTAATCTACATATCTCTGTAAGACTGAACACTCACTACCTAACACATAACTGCACCATTACATTCCCGTACAACATTTTCAACCACACCAAGCGGCAATCAATAATCACTAAACTTATCATTCTTAAGATAACTAAATAATGAATTTCCCAAGGACTACATAATCATGAATCACCAGAATAATAAAACAAATTATCCTGCACCCAGGTCACAAATCCTCAAAGCAAAATCTTCAATAATTAATGATCGAATCGCAAACCCTATATCATACATTTGGTGCTACCTAGTACACTTCGTCACCCAAATCAAATCATCCAAATTCACACTGTCACACCGACACAACGCGCAATACCATGCTCTTACTATCCCTGACAAATTGAAACAATCATTGAACTTTAACCCGACATCATGCTAAGAGGGACTGATTCAGGAGAAATGGTTGGCCAGACCATTCTCATCATCGATCCGGTCTCAATACAGATATCGTTCATGTCCTTAGGTCCAGACCTCAAACACACTCTCACGTAGTCCATAAGACAACCATAAGATTCAATCGTTATCAATCCATCGTTCTACGTAACCATAACGGCTAACACTCACATATCAACATGTTAAAAGCAACACGACAATCATTCCTCAATCACACAATCATAACAAGCTAAAAACAACACGACACCAAACGTCACAATCATTAACTCGCACTAAAGATCCCTAATGATCTCATAGCACCCATACCAGGTAGATGACTCCATAACATCATTCGGTTCAATTCTTACTTCTTCAAAACACTAATATGACCATCTCATACCTGGAACCTCAAAACCAAAATCAATCATTCCCATTATTCCTTAACGGAATCCCACATTCACTTTCTTTAATCACGTAATTTTAAGGCGACATCGACACTTGTCCTCAAGACACTGCTCGAATCAAACGCCTATAAAAACATCCGAGTACATGACTCACATCACATCACCTAACCATCCTCAAGCTTACAATTCACAACACACCTTTAGCCATCACCAAAAGTAACCGATAACACAATCCATATTCAGCAACTCGTGCCGTCAAAACCACTCTCAAAACAAGCACTACTAAAAATAGCGATGACTTTATCTCTCTCCGTGGGAGTGAGTCGACCAAATCAACCAAACCTTTACCGATGAACTCAACAACATAGCAAATCACACACAGGTTCGTCCACCCACGGACGCGCATAACTCCTAAATAGAAAGCAAGACTCATGATAAACGATGTCCTTGCCACGAATAGAACAGACAGAAAGGGTAACAAACCCTGCTCTCACAAGAGATTGACGACTCGCACCTGAATGCACCTGACACCTTGTCACATGGTACACACCATTTGTCCAACCATGGACACCCAATCTCACATGAGATTAACTAAACTCCTTACACACAAAGAGAAAAACGAAATGGATACCTATATGGAGCTACGAACTCAATTCTAGATGACCTCGCCACTAACAGACCATTATACACTATCAACATAGAAACCTCTCATACGT